CCCCATGACATAAGGTTTGGGGACTTAATTACTTCTGATGGTTTTTGGTCAAGCAGGACTCTATGCATTTTGAAAAAGGTTTTGCTCTATCACAAGAGGACAGAGTTGGAATTGGCATTACTTCCGCGCAGTTAACTCTTATCTTTACAAAGGTGTCCTGACAATAAAAATCACACTTCTGTTCAAAGGACTTCATATTTTCTGCGTTTAAACACCACCACATAAAACTTCCTTTGTATTGTGCAGAAATGTGTGAAAATACCACAAATGTCTGGTGACAGTAAATGCACAATCCCACAGAAGATTTGTTCTGCCTTCAAGCCGTCTGGTTAGACAACCTTCCCCTTACAGACCTTATAAGAGTAACCCCCACTTTTGGTCCCCTTAGAAAATTTCTAGCTGATAGATGTGCCCTTTCTGTGTTTTTTCTAGAGTTCTCCAGAATAGGTGTTTGTTGTACAAAAGCTGCTAGCTCAGAAAAGCATTTAGCTTCAGTCATGTGCATAATAGCCCATTGACTTTAATGTTGCCACTCATGAGCGCAAAGTTAAGCACATGCTTAAGTGTCCTGCATGTCTGGGATCCTTGGATAATTTAGATTTAATGTGCCACAGAGTACAATGTGGGAAATAATTCATTTTTCAGTTTCATGGCCAAGCATCTATTACTGCAGAAATACAGCAGATTCTTTTTTGCAGGTTTTTCAGTGTGACTCTTGCTTTGCCTCAACTTCAAGTGTTTCATTCACTTCAGAATAATGTGTTGTTTTGCCTTCCAATTATTTCCTTCTGTACTTTCCCCTTGTAACAGAAAAAAATATTTATTTTCCTTTTTTTTTTTTAAATATAGCTCAATTTTATGAGTAGTGACTTCAGAAAATGACAGGTCAAAAATACATGTCAGAAATATCAAAGTGTTTTGTTTCAAGCATACTGAAATGAGCTACTTTGGCAAATATCAGGATTTCCCACTGCCTTCTTACTCTATCCGCAGTCATGGCTTATCTGAAACCGAGACACCCCAGAATATTTTTTAATAAAAATATTGTCCAGTTTTAACTCCAAAACTGATTTTTTTTTATTTTTTTTTGGTTTTTTTTTTTTTTTCCTAGAAAAGCATGTTTATTGAAAAAAAAAAAATAGCTGGCCGGTGTTGCACAGGAACAGGCCCCTTGTTTCAACATTTCATTAACATCTTAAAAAGCAAATAAGTCAAACGTGTGAAATTTCAGCAATCTATGTTAATTTGCAGGCATGCAGAAATCCATTTCTCTCCTTTTTATGTCAATTACAAAATTACCATTTTGATACTTTATTAGCTTCTTTGGCATTTCCAACTAATTTATAGTCATGGACACAATTTTTTTATTATTATTAACCTACTGCATTCTAAACTATTTTATTTAAATGCCCTGCTGGCTGTCCACATTTGCTTTTATTCTATTACTACTGTATATGAATGGAAATTACATCCAGCTATTATATTATTTCACACATTAGTTCATTTTATATAATCTTTCCTTTATTTATTGCCTTCGTTAGACTGAAATACCGCAGGCGCTTGTTTCTCTAATGTGTCTGAAGCTCTCCCGTTAATGGAAATTGGGTTATATCTCCTGATTACAGCCAGATGTAATCCAGACCAGGAGCTGACTGAAGTGTTCTGTGACAGGCCACCTTACCAGCAGGGCTTTCCCAGATGGTTGGGGTCATAGCAGCCCCCAGCGCGGACCCCAGAGGGATGCAGCCCAGGGCCACGTGCAAGGATGCTCTGGCAGGGCTTGCTGGCACTGCAGCCAAGGGCAGAGCTCCAACCATGGAGCTGACCTGGCCAGCATGGCTCTGCCCCTGCCAGGACCACATCCAGCCACTCCACTGCACAAGGTTGACCAGCAAAGGCGGATGGTGCTGGTTTGGCATCAGTGCCAGAGAAGAGTAGTTCGGCCAGTGCTGCTCTTGGGAAGAAGCAAGTTTCTCCTCCCTCAAACTGCCCACAGCTGCACCAGCATTAAGAGCTGCAGCTTGATGATTTAGCACCTGCAAAGGTTAACATGGGGGAATTAAAGCCATTGTGAGGTGGGTTCTGGGTCAGCTCTGGCACCAGTTTTGGGCCAGCTGAGCACTCAGCAGAGTAAGCATCACCTGAGCCAGAGGGAGAATGGCGGAGGTCACTAAGCTCTGTATAGGGAAGCTTCCAAGCCACCCTCAATCCAGCCTACTACCCTGGCACAGAGGTATCCACTCTAGCCCAGCTCAGACAGACCTGCTCAAGCATCCACACAGCACAGCAGGGACATGACATTAGTCATTGTCTTGCATGTCATTAGGAAGTAAATGCTGGGGCACAGCCAAGACACCATCCAAGTCCTTAGACAGCTGGAGTGTTTCAGCCTGCTTTTCTGGGGAAGCAGCAGGTTGGCAGCCGTAAGCATCTCTCAGAGAAGCTCTTCCCAGGCAAGGCCCAAGGATGAGGGTCCAAGGAGACCCTCAGGGTGGCTGTCGCAGGATGTAGCCAGCCTGCCCTTGACAAGCGTTCTCCAGCCAGGCATAGTAATGGATTTTGTGAGTGCATCTGGCATTTTGGCTGCTGTACAGTGCCAGTGGGACACCTTCCCCAGGTACTGTCATGCTACAAAGACATTTGCAAGCAGATCTGGGTCTAGGCAAGTAGAACAATATCCCTTAAAATAACTAGCCCTTTGCCTGTCAGCTTGGATTATATCCTCTCCTGACTCCATGTGCTGGACACAGTTGCCCTTGCCAGCTGATATAGCAGGCTGGGAGGTTGATCTGCCTCACTTCTGCTGACCTGGAGACCAGATCACACATTGGAGATAAAAAAGACAGGAAGATATAGTCTTTCCTCTTGGCCACTGGCATTGGTCAGTGACTGGCTAATTTAAGCAGGCAGGAAAAGGTAGATGGAGCACAGCATACCTCCATCTGCCCTGCATGTGCCTGCACCCTGCATCCCAGCCAAGCAGTGCATTGTTGGGGTGAGTGAGTTGCAAGCATTACGTAGGCTTTGGAAGAGGGAAAAGAGAAGATTCAGAAGAGTGAATTACTCCCAAACGACAGCATCTTGAAGCGTTGTGACACATTCTGCAAGGCCCTCTATACATTTTCAGAGAGCAGAAATCCATGAGCCCCGCAGATCAAGTTCATTCACTCACATCTTTTGGATGGAGTTAGTCCCACCTCTCTATTCTCCAGAGGCAGCAACTGGCCTTCATTTTTACCAGCCAATTTTCACCTGATTCAAGATACTCTGGTAGAAATGTAATTTTACCCAAATGCTGCACTTGCGCTAGTGGCTATGTTTGAGGCATACTGCAACAATCTGAGTACGTACTGTGACCTTTCACTTCCCCAAGAACCAAAGCACATATGCTTTAGGATACAAAAAGAAAACACAGGTACATTGGCAAAGAAAAGTAGAAGAAAATGACCTCAATCCAATACACACAGGCAGTCCTACAGTGAAATGGACTAAAATAGGCCCAGAAACTTGTATCCGAAGGCTCTGTGAAGCTCCAGGAGTTACCGCTTTCAATTGATATTTCATGCACATATCTCTGCAGGTATGAAGAATATATTGAAAAACATGAGAATGAAAGTATGGCTCTCTCCATGAGCCGAGGCACATCCTGAAACAATAGATCACAGGTATGAATTACCCCATTTAGCTCAGACAGTTGAAAACCTAATGATGACAAACTAATGTTAACTCTGATAGGGCTGGCTGGTTTTGAACAGTGTCTTTCAGTCTGAGGGAGTCCACAGCTTCTAAGGAGTCTCAGCAACAACCTCTACCTGGCAGAAAAGCATCTTCGCCTCCACCCCCTCTTCAACACAGCTCAGTGCAAAACTGGAGACAGCGTGAAACAAATCAAGGTTGAAATTAAAACAAGTAACAGGAGAACCTCTGCATGGATTGTACTACTCTCCATCACATTTCATTTCAGGAAAAAATAACAAAAAGGGAGGGTAGAGGGGGAAGCTCTTAAAAACTAATCCACCCCAGAGTTTCCAGCCCGCTGCACAGGACACTGTATACACAGGGGGCCTGGCCACAATTTATTTCTAGGCTGTGTGGGGGACACATGAGACAGTATCTATAACCAGTCTAGCAGCAGCAAACTGACATTTGCAGTCATCTTGCTGCTATCCCTGACAGTAGCATGTGTGACCTATGGCTGGTTGGTTGTCCTACAATGGCATGACCCCTTTAGCAGCCCCAGTGCTTGAGTAACAATTCAGCATGGGCAATCGAGCCTCACAACATTCAATTCCTTGTGAGTAACCTCACTACACAACAAAAATAAAGCAGTGCGCAAAGCTTCAGACCCTCATGAAGCAGCCGATGCTATGCTGCATGCATGAGCAATCTCCCCAAAATCCTCAGTGTGCAGAGCCCAGCAAAAGCAAACGCTCTGCAAGGACAAAATGCTGTGCATTGTAAGCAAAGCAGTGAAACACACTCTGAGGAGGAAGTGATTTCTTGTGCTAAGCTTCCAAAGGCCTCGAAAAAAATGACAGTATAACTTCAAATGCGAGTAATAGTAAAGCATCAAAGCCATGTTGATTTACCCCCACGGGCAGAACTTGTCCCCATAATAAAGTAACAGATCATATTTCCTAGGTGAATGGCCAGTGTGCCTACAAAGACAAATTATTTCCTCCTGATAAAACAGGTTACAGCCATTATACACATCATCTCCAAAGCTACATTAATTCATTTCTTGCTGACAACCAAGGTGTGGTTTGGGATCACTTCAGCTCTGCTTCTAATTCATTCTTGAAGTGTTTAAAACATGTCGAAATGCAACTGAATACTAGCAAAGAGTAGTTGTGCTATTTAAACTAGGGACTAAAGCTATGACGTCACTCTGAGAAAACTGGACACTTTCTCAGCAAATGCAAAGAGAAGAGGAGAGAGAGGGTAAAAGAGAGCCTCTTCCATCGAAAAGGCTGCTTTGGGGGGTTGGGTGGATCCATTACCTTTTTGTCGCTCAAGCCAGACACCTGGTCCACGTATTCCTCTTGGATCATGAAGGCAGCCAGGTTGGCAGTGTAGCTGGCCAGAAAGATGACAGCGAAGAAGGCCCACACTGACACCATGATCTTGCTAGTGGTACCCTTGGGATTCTGCACTGGCACAGAGTTGTTGAACACCAGCCCCCACAGCAGCCAGATAGCTTTGCCAATGGTGAAAGAGGGACCTCCTGGCTCTAAAGTGATTGAGAAATACGAATTACTCAAAGTAAGTGGTCTGCATTTCTATTCACACTCACATCTTGACTTCAGAGTTAAGAGCCGTATTCCCACATGTGAGATGTATGTGCACAGCTGCACTTCCCTATGTTCAGACACCGTATCTCAGCAAAGTGTGACCCTGGAAAATACAGTTTTAAAAATGTCATCAGGTTTCCATCGCTTCTATCTCAAAGATTTCCTCTGAAACATTATACAAGGGCTTTTTTTTGTATCTGACTGGAGTCTCTAAAAGCCCAAACATTCCGTTTCAGTCCAAGTCTTGTCACCAGAAATAGTTTTCTCAGAAAAATTCTATTCTTGTTTCTAGCTATTTAACAGCAATTTTGCCCTTGAACTTCCAGCATACACCTGTGCAAAACATGACCTTCACTGTATTTGTACAAGTGCAAGGCAAAGCACCATCTGAAATAATAGGGCTCTACAAATATCTCTCCAAGATGGTTTCATTACCCAGGCTGTTGAAGACACACAAGCCAGAGAAAAAACACAGCTCCCTCTTCACGGGTTGTGTGTCCAAGGTACATAACAGTGACATATACTCTGGTCTAATTCAGGAAAATCAGCAGCTCTGCCCCAGACAGCGCAGGAGCAGATCCAGTGTTTAAAAAGCTGCTATTTTCTCCTTACTCATTTTTCAGCATGGAAGCTCACTCATACCACAAAAGCCATGTGCTCATGAAGCGCTATGCCTGAAAACAGGTGAAATCCTGCCTGTCTCCCAGCAGTCTCATATCCCTCATATTTCATATTCTGGTTCCATTAGTGGGAACCCAAATCAAAATTCGCTCAACTTGAGCACAAGAAGATCTGTCAGGAAACTGCCGATGCAATTCCTCCAAGCATCCTGTTTCAGGCACTGAGAAGATCCTTTTAGGACAAGAGCCCTCTGGCACAGTTCTGTCACTTTTCCAATGGTGCCAACCTGACTCTGCAACCTTCTGGGTTAGCATCCCATGTTTTATCTCCTTTCTTGGGTAAGCTGACTGGTACTTAGTGCTACTGCTGTGGTTAAGGTTGACTCCAGTAGAGGAACAAAAAGGAAGAAAGTTTTGATGCTCCTCTCCAAACCATTAAGCAGCAAATAGCATATATCATTTGAAAGCACTAGATGTTTTACTCTAAATACAACTGCAAGGTGCATGGGGCTCATTTTTCACCCTGGGAACTGCACACCAAGTTCATAGCAGAATCACTACCTGGCAAAGCTGGCAGGGAGACAAAGTTGCTGTAAGAAACATGGTCTGGCGATCCTTGTCTTTTTACATGCTGGACTGGTAGCTTTATGACCCTCTCTATCTAATGTGCCCTAAGACACACAGGTGCAAGGCCCACACATCATTAGTGGGAACTGTAAGTCGTAAGGAAATCTTGAGAGGTTCTCTCCTAAGATCTTCCTCTCTCCACTCATCACCCCATGTGTTTTCACAGTTACTTTGCCAGCTATAAATCAAGACAGCAATGGGAGCCTCTGGTCCAAACTAGAGACCTAGGATGCTTCTGAGCTCTCCAACTTTGAGTGCTCCAACAACAACCCTACATCATTTATGGGCTAGATCAGGGTATGCCCACCTGGCCCTGGAGATAACATCTTGGTGTGTGTACAGAGCAAATGCAGGTATGGAAGGCAGGGGTATACTGCCATAGACTAGTTCAAGTGCAGCCAAAGTAACAGTCAGAGCATTCATTACCAAACAAGCATTCCAGTCTGTGCAGCAGATTTCTCCATCTTCACATTACATCTGTCAGGGATAATATCTGCCTCATTATGCAGTACTGTTCATAATTACTCAGAAATATTGATACTTGAAGCTGCAGTTCAGCTAACTTAATAACTGCACAGCTGCACACCTGTACTAAGAACTGCTTCCAGTTCCACATCTGTATTAATATCTCTCAAGAGACTCACAGGTTTACTTACAGGTTTACACAGTATTTACTTGTGTTCACGGATCCATGTGGTTACAATCAGTTGCCATAAAGGCCCTCCACAGCTCCATGGTAAGAGCAAAGTTCTCCACTTCTTCATATATGTGGTTCTGCCTGCATTCTCGTTAACGCTTTTTCCCCTCCCCACCCCCCTCTTCTCTGATATGATGGCACAAAATCATTCAGTCACAAGGCTCAGGAGCAAATGAGTGCATTTTCCAGTAACAGTCTCTCTCCCACTGTTCTGAATGGACCAATAAGCCCTGAAAGGTTTGAAGGGCTGATTCATCGGGAGTAAAGATGTAGAGATAACAGAAGGCTCAACTTTCTAATTGTCTTCATGCCAATAAGGCAAATCAGGCTGTCTCTTAGGCTGTCTGTCCATCCTCTCTTTAACTCATCAGGCTGTCTTCTGAAGTCCAGAACCACAGAGATGGGTCAATCATTCCCATCAATCTTGCTGCCCTTGGCAAAATAATCCATCACCCACTCCCAGAAAAATGAGCTTCCCACTTTCTCAGTTGGCCTTAGCAAGCCAGAGTGAAGTGGGGGAGGGACATGCCCAAGTGACAGATGTGGAGGCTGGAGGACATAGCACGATGCTGGGAGGCCAGAAGAGTGGCTTGCTCTCTGGGGAGACATAGCACTGAAGTATGGGTTGACAGCACTGAGCCTTCTGATTGCCTTAGAGAGCACAGCACCATAGCCATTGCCAGCACTGACTACCAGAACCCATTTCCCCTCAGCAAGAAACAAGCTGGAGCTGGTGTATGCTTTAGAGATAAAAAGTGACACAGCTCCGTCTCCTGAGCCAAGCAAATTATCCATTATACACAACTGCTCTCTTCAGAGCCTTTTTTCTGCCTCCATCCCTGCCCTCTTTAGTTTGAACACAGAGCTCAGAGTGGGCTAGATCTGTATCATGTTCCAGGCAAAGGGAACACCCCAACAAAGGAGCCAGGACTGGAAGCAAGAGAGGACCACGGCAAGGAAGGAATCCCCTTACCTCTGCCATCAGCAAGGCACCGATTATAGCCCACAGGGCTGAAGTACTCAAAGACGAAGACAGCCACCGCAGAGATGATAAGCAGCATCACAAACATCATCACCCATACGTCAGCACTGAAAGGCTCTGGAGAGGAAGAGAAAACCATAGTGAAAGACCTGCTACACTATCTCACTCGTCCTTCACCTCCTTTGCTTTCCATGAGTACCTCAGTGAGAGTGTGGAGTAAATTGGCCTGGGGAAACACAAAAGTTAAAACAAAGCCTCAACCCCAGTCTGAAAAAATTCTTGAATTGGGATAATGTAGTTTCTGTCTCTGTATTGACTGCATTCCTTCTTGCTGTTACATTTGTGACACATGGCTCCATCTGGAGCTACATGCAGCCATTGTGGCATGAATTGATAAAATAAAATGCATTGATAAAAGATTGTTCCCAGGAAGTCCTCCAGCACCATCTGGAGAGAGTGGGGAAAATCAAGCAGAACTGGCAGAGTTTCAGACAAGCATCCAACTTTCAAGATGCTATTGAGCCAAAAAGCATCTCCAAATTCTGAGGTTCAGTCATAATGATAGTAGTTTTTTTCAGCTATTCCATTCCCATAGCAATGGGAACACTGGCTCATTCCAGAAACGTTAGCATTGATCTCTGCCAGGTTTTCTCCTTCTCCAAGCCCGAACACATAAAGATGGGACTGAACCAGATCAAAGAAACATAGAACTTTGCTCCAGACTATAGTCAATATGGCAACCTCAGCTAAATTGCTACTTAAAATTTTGGAGGTAACTTTACCATTGCTTTTTCATATCCCAACAATATTGGTAAACTTGGCTAAAGGCAAAAAGAACCTCATGAAGAGTGAGTAGTCATGAAATTCCTATTTAAAGAGGTTTAGAAAAATTTCTTTACCCATATAAAGTTGTTTCTGTTTGTCAGTGTTCTCAGGACACTGACGGAGAGGAGAAATTTATTATAGAATTCGTATACTTCATTTGCTGCATCATAAAGCATTCTATAAAGCCAAATAATAGACACTAGGAAGACATAGCTGTCTTGGGGAAATGCAGTATAGTTTCTCCATTCTCTGATCACCTTCCACCACTGAAGGACATTAGAAATCACTTTACTGGAAGACAGTATCAGCACAGAACTGATAGATCAACTGTACTTGAAAAGCAGTATTAGATCTCTAATAGAGGGTCAAGTTGCTCTGACAAGGAAGTCAATACCTTTTGCTAATTGTTATCACTAAGTACAATGGTATACCAGCTATAAGGTTTGAATCAATTTTCTTCTGCCTTACACTCCTTCAACATGCTATTAATTGAGTCACTGGGAAACCATATGCTACAGAGTAGGTGACAACTCTGAGTGAGCCCATTCTTTGCTGGGATTAGGCATACAGTTGCTGAGATATGCCTTGGAACTCCTAGGCAGTGCCTGTTTGCATTTGCCTGGATTTTGCTTGCTTGGGATTTAGAACTAAAACATCAGAGTTTATTTTTATACACCTGTCCCACACGTATTCCCAAAAGAAACTTTCAGGCTGAGGGTCACAAGCAACCTTCACCTAATTTTTGATGAACACTGGGTGAAGTTTTAATTTTAGATTAAAATGATACCTAAGAAGGCAGAAGGTGAGACAGTTCCATTGCTACGTGACACCATGACGCTGATTCCTGTTTCAATGAAGGGCACAGAGAAATCCACCACTTCTGAACGCTCCTCATTAATGGTGAGGGATCCCACAGCCATATAGGCCCGTTTGGTGACGACCTGGAGGAAGGAAAGGAAGAAATCACACACAGACCTGAGGCACCTCTCAAGCACCACAGCCAACCCCCTACTCATGTTCCTGTCTTTCCACACAGTCCTTTACTCCTTGTCCTGGGTTCAGCGTTTTTTCTCCTTCCTAGTAGCTGGTGCAGAAAATAACTGTTACAGCTGGACCCAGGACACTTGTGTAATCCCATGCCCTATATTGTTTCTATCATTTCTCTAATCTTTCATCAGGACACCTTCTTCCACGAAATGTACAGACATTACTTTTCCCCTCAAAGCTGGTATGTGTATAAAAAATAAACCCGCAGAGGTCTTAGGATAAACCCATCATCCACTGAGAAGACATCTTATCTCATTTTTCTGTCCTTGCTTTCTCCTCCCTCTAACACTGCAAAGTATTATTTCATTCTTTATGCACCTTATATACGATCTAAGCATAATCTAGGTTGCAGCCTCTCTGGTGCATGGATATTAAGCTCCTTCTTTGGCTGTGAAGGCCAAATTTGTGACACTATAGAGAATAATAATTAATCGTCAAACAGGAAAGGTAGTCATGGTCAGAGTGCCAGAGCAGATTAATTTACCCAATGCCCAGAAAGAATCCAGGCCAGTCATTTCTACAGAGTCACCTCTGTCCCTGACCCAGAAGGGGACCCAGGAATGATGAGAGGCTAGACCTGACCCATGTCATCCAGCCCGGGATAAAGCCCACCATGCCCTCCCTTTGCTGCTGACCTCTCCAATCATTCCATTCCACGTTCCATTGATCTTTTTCCCATGCTTGCCATTAGTCACCAAGTAGAGGTCATAGGTGAACTTGACAGACTTTGAGATTTTCTTGAGGATGTCAATGCAGAACCCCTTGCAACATTTCTTCATGTAATCTGGCTCCTCATCGGTTTTGTTCCTGAACCATCACAACAACAATGGGTTAAAGGACTGGGGAAAAACTCCCTTAATTCCCTTTTGTTGTCTGTATGCACTCCCCCTCCCACAATACAATGTGGAGAATTTCACTTGCGCTATCTGTGCTGCAGGGTGAAGGAATACACTGATGATTCGCCCAAAGGGGCCCGTCATGAATGGACACAGGCCAGGCTGGGCAAATGTTGGTGACTTTTCTAAAGAGGTTTATCAGGGTATGATGGTATTGGCCCAACAGACTCCCTACATTCTGCTGAGTTGGGAGAGCCCATTAGGAGAAGAAAAACCCAGGGATGCATACTCCGTCACTATGCGTTTTTGGCAAGGGACCGTGTTCCTCATGCAGGTGCCACTTAGGGGGTCCACGTTCTCCACAATGACAAACGGTGCCTCTTCCAAGGTCACAATACTCAGGTGATCGTCCTCGCGTTCCTCAGAGTCAGGATACAGCTCAAAGCGGGGCCACACGTAATACTTCATCTGCAACTTTTTTTCCTTCCATTTCCCCACCTGTGGAGACACAAACCATGGAAGATAGACTTCTAGCTGCCCTGTCCCTCTGAATCTCCCATAGACCTGGGCAGAAGGACCACTCCAGAGTACCCAAGATCACGGCTCCTGTAAGATGAGGACATTTCTGGGGAGAAGGCTTTGAGTAAGTGGGTTCAAAGCAGGGGGAAGTGGAGAAGGAGAAAGATGTCTGGGTTGTCTCATCTCTATGATGGCCTCCCTCTGGGAGAGTGAGTGGATGACCAGGGAGATACCATCACCATGGTCAAACAGACATGATGTCTTTCAACTTTCTCAGCCAAACAACAGGAACAGAGCTTGTTGCCTCTTGAACTGTTGACTTCAGCCTACTAGCCACAATAAAAATGTTGGGGTTTTTTCTGCTAAAAAGGAGAAGAAACATATACAAATCCTGAAACAAATATAATTTTGAAACAGAAAAACTGAAATATTTCACCTCAAACAGTCAAACCAGAACTTGTTTATTTTTTCAAAATTTTGTCTTCATTTGTTTTCAGTGAAATTCATTAAACAGATTGATTTTAGCCAAACTTGATTTTGTCCAGAAATAACTCCTTCCTCTGGAAAGAGCTTGCCCATTCCTAGTCAGCTAGTGAGCTCTTCCAAGAGACAGGCAACTGAAAAAGGACATGTTCTGAATTTGCAGGAGTGTCTTCACAGGAGAAGAACATAGACAGAGGTGCTCGCTAGCAGAAGCTTTTGCTATCCTCTGCTAAGGCCTTACTAAAATGCCTGCTCTTGTCCTTCCACAGTGACTTGGATACATACCTTAGCTGGAAACAAGGAATTGCTCTGTGTTTCTGACACGTGAAAAATAAAATCAAACAGTATTTGATTTTTTTTTAAATGGTGCTGTTTGTCTATAAGGATATATTTTAATTTTAGATCTTTTCATGTTCCATTTCTTGAGCAAACAGAAATCGTACCTTCAGCAACCAGAAAAAGGGGGTGGAACTCAGTTGCCCTATAACTACAGCCACAAATATGAGCTTTTTTGAAGCCATTCCAGGCCCTCAAGAGATGATACGTGTAACACACCCACTGCACATGTCAGACCGTTCCTTGCAAAGATTCCAGGAGAAAAGCCCCAAACCAACCCTGGAACATAACTAAGCTTTCAACTATCGAAGTCTTGCCTTTGTTCTCAATTCCCCCCATTCCAGTTGGTGCTATTTGCACCATGGCTGGCAGCTGAAGCTGAGAGGACAAGAAACTAACTGAACTTTCCTGCTCCATCCTCAATACAAGCCCTCCAGGCCAGGGCTGAGGCAGGTTGACTTGGTGGCAAAGGCAGTGTGGGTGTGTGGGAAGCTTGCTCGACTGCCCTGAGCAGTGTACCTGCTTGGTGGGTAAACAGAAAAGCTTCATTCCACTGCAATCCAACACCCCTCCCACCACCCCCAAATTTCAGTCATTTATTTATTTAAGTGACAGGATGGGAGGGGGAAGCACTTATTAGAGGCTCATTAGGTGTCAGCGGTTATTCTGTGAAACTCAAAGCCCAGCTGGGGTTTGGCATTTGAGAGCAGCTAGAATTCACATAAACCACTTGTCGCCTTCAAAACAAACAAACACGTCATCTGGCCATGAAAGGAAAATCCATTCCGGGGGCTTGTGAAGGGAGAAGAAAGGCAGAAGAAATCACCCAGAGACAGCAGCCTCCCCATCCATCCCTGCAGTGTGAATACAGCACCCCAGGGATAGCAAGGCAGTGGGTTTGGCAAGAACGGGGTGAAGTGGTTGGGCAGCTGCTCTTACCTTCCCAAGGCGACAAGCATGTCAAGGAGATCTTGCCTCTAATGTTCCCTTCACCCAGAGAGTCATGCTTCTTGGACCAGAAAGCAGGGTGCACAGCTATTTTTTTTCTTTCTTTCTTTCTCTCACTTCATTTTGTTTTGTTTTGCTTTGTTTTGTTACTTGAGTGGGCAAGGAGTAGCTGTTTTAATTTTTAACTACACTTCAAGCAGCAGGTGAAAGGTGGCAGGCTTGGAAACCAGTGGCCCCTTTGTCCTCAAAGACAGGTAGTGTTGTCTAGGGCAGCAGATGGTCTGCACTCAAACTAATATCTAAGCCTGGATGTGCAGAGTACATTCTGAGGCAATAAAGAGCTCCTTCAGGGTCTGCTCAGCCCTAGACTTCTCACTCGTTGACCAAGCAAGTCAATTTATCATCATCTGAGCCAGAGATTTCTGCAGTGCAACTTTAACCCTCAAGTAACTGAGCTCAAATCCCCAAAACCAGTTCGGTGAAGCCAACAGACAAGCAGAATAACTGCACAGACGGGGCTCAGTAGGGACCAGTGATTAAGATGATGCACAGAACAGCCCAGCTTAGTAACATTAACTTATCATAGAAATAAGTGGTTGATGAAAGAGACATCTTGCAGAATCTCAGCAGCACTTAGATATCACAGTAATAGGCATGAGATAAACTCCTAAGTGATAAATTAGATCAGATAGGCAAACCCAACTCATAATTACCCAGAAGTTCTCTGGGACAGAAAGGGGAGTTCATAAGGCTGTGTGCCAGGCACGTTTCACAGTGTTGTACTACATGGAAACATTATTAAATTAGGATAAGAGTGACAGTCTTGCCACAGCCGCCAGCATGCTGAAGCACCTAACCTGCAAATACAGTAGTACACATCCTTTCCTTATTATCCCAATAAAATCATTCTAAATTGTCCAAAGAGAAGGAAAAACAGGATGTGTGGGCATGTTCCATCCTAAATTTTCAAACTAACTGTGGAATGTCTGAAGAATACATGTAAATATTACATTTCATTGCTAACCTGAACAGTCAGGCGTGTACACGTACACATACGTATAAGCAAAGTCAGAAAAGCTTTCTTAATTAAGACAGGGCAGACTTCTTTATATGCCCACGTGTGCAAGGGTCAAATGTGCATGCATGTAGTCAGAGGACCAGGCTAAAACAACATGTGGGCAAAGACAGTAAAGATAGTAAAAAACACCACACATGCAGAGGATGGAGACAATGCAAGAGAAAGAAAATACAAATGTGCATCTTATGCGAGATAATCTGCCATCAGAGGGAAGGAGCAATTCACTGTGGGGACAGAGGTTAGCTGCAACAGAATTAAATGTCACAGACTTGTCCAGGTAATGATGCCTTCTCTTAAAGAATATAACCTGCCAAGCTGTGCAGATCAGAGCAAGGCACTTCTGAAGTCTCAGGGTGTTTGGTATTAACAGTTTGTGAACTGCTATTACTTAGGTTTTGCTGAGTGCTTGCCTCAGCAAAAAGAGGAAAAATAAACCATCCCAGGCATCCTACATATTGGTCACCCTGCAGTTTCAAGATCCACTGGGTGTTCTCCGATCAGTCTAGTCATTCAAACTCCCACTAGGAGCCCTGAAGGGTTGCAGCATCAGCAGAATGATACTAGGGATCTCTAAAATCTCCTTTCTAATCATTCTCCGATCCATAGGAATGTTCCTATATGCCAGTGCAGGGCTTCTAAGAGCCAGAATTTCACCTTAACTTCCCCTTGTTCTGTCTGTAACACATCTGACCTTATCACAAAACGAAAGTCACTTTGGTTTGGGGATAAATTTGGAGGTGTTGAGGGAGGGAAGCAGCCAACTTTTACCTTAAATATGAGATCCTACTTTGGATAGGAAGCTGTTGGAAGCAGAAGTCCAATACATTTGCATAGTACGAAAGTGAGAGCTATTATAGCAGAAAAAGTCAATCATATATGCCTTTGGTTTGCCTAAGTATACAAGCTATCCCATGCAGACAAAAGGCAAGATTGCCTATGCAAGGAGAAATTAAGTAAGAGCCTTCCAAAAGCCTTCCAGCAGGCTGGCAAATTGCCTTAACCGCGGTATAATGCAGCCAGAACAAAAGTGTTCTGCAGTATGTTAATGCGCATCTTTAATGAAAGGTGTAATGCATTAGTTCTCTGAAACTAATTCTTAACAGAAGCTTTTCTCTCCTCCCAAGGGAAGCTAAGTTTTGTAACAGCCATTTGTGGCAATGTTTGTCTAACCTGTCCTTACACTGACAGAGAGCCCACAGTCTCTGTGGGCAGTCTATTCCAGTACTTAACCATCCTTCCCATTAAAAAGGTGGGTTTTTTCCTGATGTATAACCTAAATCTCCTTGCTGCAATTTATATCAGGAGAGTATATTTCCTTATTTTTCTACATGTGCTCTTTTCAGTGTTATCAGGTCAGTAAGATATTTATAAAACAGTGGAGCTGGTAGTCGTATTCAGTGGATACCTTGCACACTATATTGGGAAAAGCAACTGCCTGTTGAAACATCCAGCACCAGTCTCACCATTTACAAAATCCTTACACAGATGGGTAGTACAGTCAAATACAAGCTACTCGTGTGAACTTCCAAAATTGTCTGTTCCTGCTAAAGACTGGAAGACATCAATCTCTGAACTGCTCTTAGTATGCTAAGGCAGGACTTCAAAACACAACAGCATCTGGAAAAACCTCTAACTGATGTCAATTGATGGAAAACCAAAACCTTCTAGAAACCTGACTTTCAAGGAGTAGGCAACAGAACACCATTCTGGATAAAACCAAAAATGTTCAGCTATATTTCTTAGGCAAGATGCTCAGAGGCACTGCATTCATATTTAGGGTGAAGGCCCAGAAGAAAGCATGAACCTTCAGGTGCCTGTTTTTCAAAAGGCCACAGAAGAACTATGTCTGGGCAAAGTCTTTTGATAGTTTTTATTTCATTCAGACTCCCATTTGCACTGTGTCTTGCACCACTCTCTTTTCATTTAAAATCTTCTGTCAGCTCCTGCCACTCCTGGTATAGAAGAAATACAAAAGGAAGAAAATGGATTTGGTTTCATTTATGAACTAAAAGAAAGATCATTCCAAACTCACTTAGGACTTGAACTGCTTTCTTCATTTCCCTAAAAGGTCAATGTTTCCTCCTTTATTATGTATTTGGGTTTGGTTTTTTTTCCCCAGGAGCTAAGGGACTTG